TGACAGGAAGTCAAAGAGGAAAATACAAAAAGAGGTCGACTTCAGATATGGGTCTCATTTCCAAATCCTGGAATTTGTGGTACTGGATGGAATGGTTTTATGGAAGCTCTTATTTAGGCAGACGTAGAGAAATAAAATCTGGATATACAAGTATGACGTAATCCCGCAACATTAACATGTTAATGAAGCCAGATAAATTCTTTCTTCTATTAAGAACTTACAGTCAAAATAGATCCAAGTCATGTGATACCTCCATCAGGTGTTGGCTCTGTTGAGCATTCACGGCTCACTGTGCTATCCAAAGGTTTCACCGCGTAGACAATAATACTCACAACACTTTAGAAAATAACGCCTGGCTTGTTTTCAAGTGTCAATCTGATGAGAAACTCACCTGGCAGCCAGATGCTCCAGGGTCCCTCCCATAGCCAAGAAACGAAGCTCGCTCCGATTTACCTGCAAAAACACAGAAAAGCCCGTAATGATTACTGTTGTGCGTTATGAAACTCGGGCACACACCTGGTTTAATACATAATAACAGGCTACAGCATCCTGGATGTTTTGGTCTGCAGTGAAGTGTTGGGTGTAAAACGAACACTTAATTTGCTGCTTGACTTTACCGACAATGATTTGTATGTAATTGTGCCGATTTGTCTCTTTATCAGAACCACCCCACTGAAAAAGTCATTACAAAACCAGAACACACACTCAACTCTACTTTCTAGGAAAGACTCGTACTGCTGGTCACTAAACATTGGAGCAGTTAAACATCACATGTTGTGCAATCATTGTAATTGCTGAACTTTAAAGGAGTTTTTTCTCACATGTTGTTCACATTTAAACCAGTATCACCACTGTCATGAANTGAGGAAGAAACATTCAATGAGCACTGAAGGCTCTTTCATCTAAACCTGACCTGCTTTGGGAGCACTGTGTCACATTTCAATATTGCATAAGGTGCGTTCGTTGCATTTTTCTAATAATCATTAAGACAGCACTGACCAACGGGTGTAGGGTCTGGTAGGGGACGTCTTCTGGGATTGGCCGCGTTGAAGGAGTAGAACGGAGCAGCTGACTTCCCTGACGTAGTCACCGGAGTAGGACTCGCCAACGCGACGTCTGACCTTGCAGCAGGCTGAGACAGAAAAAAACACACACAAATGCTTAAAACGAAAATAAAATGCCAGCTTTCATTGTCAGAATTGAGTGTTTACTTCAAGAAATTGTAGTAACCTCAACAATCCCGCAGTCAGCTCGTCATGTCGTGCTTTTCTCTATTCATGTAATATAATCTACATTCAATTTCAGAACCGGCTTTCCTAAATAACACACTCGTAGAAAACATCAACAGTGTGTTTACTGTAAATTGCAAAGACCGCAACCTCAAAATTATTACAATAAACATGATGCTGTAATGGATGCCTGAACTGTTTTGGTGGAACATATCATGTACTAGTTCGGCATGTGATATGTGACTCCTGTGTATTGGGCGAGCCAGGATAAACTGTGCTCACCATGTCATCCTATCACCAGTATCTATTTGACCTCCACAACCCCAACAAATTGGGTTAAGAGGCCAATTAAGAGCTTAGTCTAATTAGGAGTAATCGGCTGCAGACCAGGAGAGCAAGGATCATGTGAGTTGAGTACAACTGTGTGTGTAGTAGTTGGCTTGAAAACTGGCCTTCACGTGCCCTCTTGGATTCCCTGTGGCATGCTGAGGATTGACACGGTAACCACAAAGATCCTTCTAGCTGAGGCTTAAAATAGAGCTTCGGTTTCTGATTTGATTAATTCAAAATGATTCAAAAGAAACTCAATTTAGTGCAAACATTTGTAAATGGATAAAACACATATATGAAACGCACTATAAAAGATGAATACGGTTCATTTCTCTGACCTAAAATGTAGGTCATGAAAAACTGTCTGCGAAGAAAGAAAAAAATCTGGTTCTGTAAAATGACAACCTGTCACTGGTGCTCCAGCACTCACATGGCACAACAGACCCACTTCTGCTGCTGCCTTTGTTCAATGATATTGAATCCCTGCAGCAACACTGGGTCTGGCCTCCTTTATACTACAATAGTTATTCAGGGAGGGGAAAACATGCAAATGTGGATGCTTGTGATCATCATCTGAATCCGTTTATTCCACTCACTAGATAGCGAGGGCTTTGTACCTCACAATAGAACTTACAAATAAAAGTTTTGCAGCTTAAATGTTTGACAAGATTGTACAAATATCCATATTATATGAAGAATCAGACGTTGTGACACGTGGATTCTAAAATTTGGATTTTACATGTTTATGAAATCATTTGCAGCTCATGTGAAGAGCACCTGAGCACATAAAGAAAGTCTGAGTCCAAAAAAAAACGCAGTCACATGTCAAGGTGGGAACTATGTGGGTCATGATGTACATTAGCATCACGGCTACCAGGCTTGTGGCAAGTAGTTTATGAAATTAGTTATCTTATTCAGATACTTGGCTTGACCAACTGACAAAACAAAATAGTTTTTTTTTGTCTTCCTCCTTGAGTCTTTCAACAAGAG